ACCTTGGCCGCCGTTAGGGCGTGTGTGAACGCGACGAAGACGCGTCTGCTGTGGTTCCCCCTCCCTTTGGTATGACTGGCTGACGACGGCTAATAAGTCAGATTTGGCCATTCCAGCTTCCCTTGTCTCTGCCGGTAATGCCATCAGTTCTCAGTCAATTTACAAGCGCAGCGAGCCCCCCGCTCCATACTCGGTGTCCAGCCTTTGTCTAGGCAAATTTGTTAGCTACACAGAGAGAGAGAGCTCGCGCGGATGACCACTGTTCCACACACCCACGGATGACGAAACTCCGGTGGCAGTGTTAGCAACTCGACTGCAAGCCACTTTCGCACCACCACCTTGACAGGCTGGCAGGTGCACTTACCAAGTGCACCACCTGTCCAGTCAGACTGCTATCACAGACACACACCACGTGCGGCTATCCGTGGTGCATTCAAAAGCTGGTAGGCGCTTTGGGGCCTAGCACCTATAAATATTGTAACACATGTGCAATCAACTACCCTTAGTTGCATCTAATGATGATGATGGATTCGAGCGAGAATCCGGTACATCAAGCTAATAAATCTCTTGGTCCAGTGAGCGTGCGCCTACTTTTCGACCGAAGAAAAGCGAAATGCATGCCTGTCACACAGAAAAAAAAACTACCAACTAAATCGAACCGGTTTGCGCGCATCGTTTGGGATAAAACGTAGTTTCCAGAGGGGGGAAATCTCCTTTGCCAACTTGGCCCAGCCCCCTGATGAGGTCCCGGTATTCCAACACAGACATAAATCTTCCGTATCCTGGAGCCATTCATTTTCGGAGGTTAAAAAGGGCAGGGATAGTTTATGTGTGGACCACCGCACATGAAAGGGCAACAGGAGCACCACATATTATGCAAGTGCCTTTGCGCTAAATTACTGAGGAATTAGGGTTGGCATCAAGATTAGGCTTGATGTTAAGCTTAGGGTTAGTGTTAGGTTAGGACACGCGATTGGGTATTTTTCCTGAAAGATTGGTCAGTGGAACCTGCGTTGGAAGTGGGCATTCCTATTTATCTGTCTTGCCGGAGAGGAGGGTGAGCACATACCACTTTTGGTCGACGGTATTGGAGACATTTTCATATTAAACAATACTTGTTGAAATTTAGATAAGCAGCAAGTAGAAGAGGGACTCTTGGTATAAACTCCTTAAGAGTCCGAGCAGTCTTTCTGCTCACAGTTTGGGACTGTTTGATATGCTGCCTACTTTTCGAAGTCGAAATCGACCAACCAATTAACGCCTTCCAGCTACTTGTAATTAACAGACCCCCCCTCCCTCAACGCAAGTACTAATTTCTAACAGTTTACTTGTATTCCTCATACGCTGACGCAGTTTGCATGCGGACAGCAACATGAAGACCCCTCGACAGGGAGAAAAGCCGGCCAGACCTGCCGGCCAGACGCCGGGCAGCGAACTCATCTGTTACAGCATGTCCCTCCTGGCCTCTCACACAGTCTTCATCTCCCAACAAAGGCCTTTATCGGAGGAAGCAGAGGTGGTTGCCATCCGTCTAGAGAACTCCCTTTTGTGCTTACAAAAAGCGATTTTTCGGACTCGGCAACTGCTCTGGTCATAATCCTTCTCCTTTTGCGATAAATCAGCCACAAGTTTTGACGAACCTTGCTGCCTGCGTCACTGTGAACTACATCGATGACGCTAAACTTACCTTAGCTTTTGGTCACCCTTCTGGAGCTCTTACTCTTTATCACTTTTTCGCATGAATAGATACTTCCCGGTTCCACGCACGTGTTTATCTCCATAAATTCCTATCCCCAAGCTGATTTCCCTAACCCTTTCCAAACACTCCATACAGTAGTATATATGTCAGATGATCTATCAAAAACGTACGCTTGTCGACTTACCAAAGGCATTAGGACCTTCATCATGAATCGCCTCGTCGGTTGTTGCGCCAGGAAACTAAAAATCCGCATGTTACCTTCAATGGCTTCGAATTCTTATTGGAAATCCGGTGTCCTCGTAGTTCTTATATGTGTGGTTGCATAAAATGTTCTATGCGTAAACCTGATAGCCTTAGTACATTACACGAACCATGCAAAATTTGGAAATAAGTTCCCCTTCCCAAATGAGTCTTCTCTATAAAATACACACTACTTTATATATATTAGTAGAATTAACACTTTAGAGCTCATGTGTCCTGCTTTGCTGACTGTACTAGCATCCCTTACTGGCTTCTGACTTCTGGCTTAGTGTATTTTAGCATATTTCACAAATACCTCGTAAGCAAGGCGATAGACGCGTTGTGACAACGTCTTTCTAAAGCTGGCTAAATCATTGAAGACGTTTCGATATATCGGAATGGCTCCTGATGAAATAGGATTCAGCCACACGGTTGATGACGACGTTGTTTTAAAGATGAAACAGAGACTGTCATCATTCTTGTGATATTTCGTTCGCAAGGGAAAACCTCTTGTAACTCGTCCACACTGTGAATTCTCTGCTGGTGATTTGCTCGAAAATTACTCCATTAATCATCATTTGTTTTTGAGCCCCACTGGCTCAGTCAGCGACTCATTTAGCCTCTTTGAATTTGTTGACCCACGCACCTCGACAAATGTTCACCTTTTTGATCCTTTCTCTTGAAGATCGGAGTGCGAAGGCAGTTGCGAAAACGGAAGTTGTTACTCCTCGCCACCACGCCTCGAGGCACTTAGCACGGTTGCCTCCCCACAGTCTCCCCTGCCTTCGGCACCCACGACAACTGCGGTGACCCCGACGGCCGGGGTCCCTCGACCCCTCGAGGTTGATAAGACACCGACGCAGGAGAGCACTGTGTCCGCGTCCAGCACTCCGTCTGCGCCTGCAGAAC